TAATCGATATTCACCTTCATGAAATGATCACTGAAGATAAGGGTGTTACAGCAAAGTATGGTGAAGAAAGCAGATGGTTCTGGCTATCAATCAGAACAGTGTCTGGGTCTTAAAGGCTTATATTCAAACAAGCAGCCATCTAAGCAAGGAGTCAACTAAGTCCACAAGGAAGAAGCACACCACCAGCTTGTGTGATCCAAAGACAACAATGACAAAATTCAAATATGACAAAGGGAAAGTATCAGAGCCTAAATTGTGAGCATCCAACTTGTAGAAGGCTATAGAGGATAGTGGGAGCCCAAAACTGATCTGCAGAGTATCTAGTTAGATTAAGCCACTGGCAGATCCCCTCTAGACACAGGCAAGGATCTAGAACAGCTGTACTCTCCCATGGACACCATAGTAACCGTGATTATACTGGATTGAACTTGATACTGAGACAGTTGACCTCACGCTCAACCCAACCTGAAATTGTTCTAGGTACAAGTATTTCTTGATTATTCCCTGACAAAAATTTCTTCCCTGACCTTTTAAATACTGGTGAAGTGGTCTTTTCCTTCTTACTCATTTTGTGTATTTTTATCTTTGTATTATTATTTGACACTTACCACTTTGTTTTGCTTCTGTTTTTATTGTTTCTGTTAGGTTTTCCAGTTTGTGATGCACATAAGGAGTAAGTGCATAGAAGATGCAGGGGTGGGAGGGGTGATAGGGAGGGAAAGATAATTTGGGGAATAAATAATGAAGGGGGTGAGGGGATGGAGCACTAGAACTAATAGTGATTGCACAACTCATTTTAAAAGAAATTTAACCATGAAAAAAAAAGAGAAATTAAAACTGATTGGGGTAGTGATTATATAATTCTTCTTGATATGATTGAACTATTGAATTCTATGATATGTGGATTATGTGCCAACAAAACTGTAAAAAAATTTTTTAAGGAAAGGCCATACACTTATAAAAACAACGAGAGAGAAGCAAACAGTTGTATACAAAGGATCCTCAAAAGATTAAGTACTAAGTGGAGTTCAGAAGCTGATGGAATAATGTATTTAAAGGGCTGGTGGAGGGAGTGGGACTGTCAACCTACACTAACACGGCCAAGTAAGTTATCCTTCAAGAAAGAGCATGACATGCAAACAATCAGAGGCAAACAGAAGCACAGAGGCTTTCTGTCCACCAGACCCGCCCTCCAAAAAATACTGATGGGAGCTCTGTAGAGGGGGAAAAAAACACAAGAAAGTAATTCAGAGCTACACATCAAAAGGAAGATCTTTGCTCAAGGAAGGTGAACTGAGAAAGACAAGGGCTAGTACTAAGGTATTCGTACGGGATAATCCTAAAGTTTTGTCCTTGATGTTTTTAAATAGCAAGTATGTAAAAGGCAAGAAAAATTGTTACACAGCACAATACACATAAAGAAATAATTATTGAGAAGCAAACAAACAAAAAAAAACAACCTCGAATTCACTGTCATTGAGTCAATGCCAATTCACTGCCACCCTACATGTCAGGGCAGAACTGCCCGTGTGAGTTTCTGAGGCTGTAGCTCTTTACAGGAGTAGAAAATTCTGTTTATCTCCTGAGGAGCAGCTGATGGTTTTGAACTGCTGACTTTGTGGTTATCAGACCACAATGCATAACCACTCCATGACCGGGGCTCTGTATAATTACTGATACCAACAACAAATGGTGGGAGATAGGAATGGTACAAATTAAGAGTTGTGTGTATGTTTCTAGAATTTAAGTTGGCATCAACTTGCCTTAGAATGTTGAGTTAGTTTATTGTGCCAACCTGGCCGATAAACACATGTGGGATTAATTGAAGGGCAGAGGGATAAATGGCTTGGTGAGCCTCGCCTTTCGGGTTCTCAGGCCTCTTGCTTTGTGATGGTCGCACCATGGTGCAGCTGCGTTAGCCAGTTCCCTGCTTCGGCTTGCAAGGCTGACTTCCTGCAAGACATCACCAAGGAGAAGCCACATGGACCCACCCCGATGCAGCCCTGGGTGCTGGAGCAGCTGTGTGGAGACCCCTGCCAGCGCTGAGATGCTTACACGTTCACTGACTCGGCTTTCCTCCTGCAGATGGCATCATTGCATCTGCTTTGTGAGATGGAGGAGGACTTTGTGGACTTATGGGTTAATGGGTAAATATTGGACTTGTGGGCTTGGGCAGCACTGGGTTGGGATGTTTTCTTGATGCACAGTTACCCTTTATATAAAGCTCTGTCTTATACATGAGTATCTGTGGATTTGTTTCTCTAAAGTACCCAGACTAATACAAATGTAGTTCATTCAAGATCTTCAAGCACAAAGAAAAGAAAATTTCTGAAACATACCTAAAAATCCTCGAGCACAATAGCCAACAAGTGCACCCTAAATGCTCATCAGCAGATGCCTGAGCCATCCAAACAGAGAACACATGGCTGGTAAGATGCGCAGCCCAGAGGAGAGACGGCATGTGCACCCCTGCTGAAATTTTCATGGAGCATCAAGGCGTTATGCTGCGTGAAGGAGGACAATCACAGAAGAACAAATTTTGTAAGACTTCGTTTGCTTGAGTGGCCTTCTTAGGACGTTTCCCACAAGCTTTTTGAAGACCCTTCATGCAACGGCAAGAAATGGCAAATGTATAAAGACCAGGTGCAGGAAGGAAGGAGATTAGTGAGGCCACAGACAAAGGAATAGTGGCATTCATGAATGATAGGGTTGAATGGCCATCGTTGTAATTGCCATCAATAAGATGTATGCCTATAAAAGATAGGCATCCCAGTGGCGTAGTGATTAAGTGTGGGGCTGGTAACTGCAAGGTCATCAGTTTGAAATCACCAGCCGCTCTGCTGGAGAAAGACAGGGATTTCTACTCCCAGAAAGAGATCCGGTCTTGCACACGCACAGGGGAAGACCTACCCTGTCCTAGAGGGGCACTCGGAGGCGGCATCGACTTCATGGTGGTGCGCTGTTGGGAAGGAACTTCATGAGAGCAGATCGCAAGTCTTTTTTCCCATCAAATCTCTGGGTAGTTCCAAATGGCAAACCTTTCCATTAGCAACTAAACCCTTCATCGCAGCCTCGCCAGAGCAGCAAAGTGTAGAAAGGAGGCCTGTTGGCCAGGTCCAAGGAGCCTTCCAGAAAGTCATGAGAAATAGAATTATCTCGTTATTGTGGTCAGTTTTGCTTGGGCTTGTATTTTAGGGTTTCAAGGATCGGAAAATCTACAGAGACAGTAACTGGATTAATATTGATTTGAGGGTGTGGCAGGGGAGAGTAGGAGCTAATAATGATGAGGACAAGAAGGAAGAAAATGCTCTAAAATGGATTGTGGTGATGTTTGTACAGCTCTTCTTGATGTGATTGAACTATTGAATTGTGTGATATCTGAATGATATGCTAACAGAACTGTTGGGGGCCGGGGGAGATAATTCCATCAGCCCAGAAACTCTTTTGAAGTCCTTCCTCATCTGTGCACAAGAAAGCTTCAGCAAGTTCATGAGAAAATTCTACTAGCTTTCAATACCGTGCTGTTGTATCCCTTGCAATTCCCTTCAATCCTATGTACAACTGAACTAAATTCTGCCTAGGCTATTGTGGAAATTATCTTGTTTGTTTGTTTGTTTGTTTGTTTGTTTGTTTGTTTGTTTTTAAGAGAGCATGATTGCGAGCTCATTGTCCCAGCTACTGTGTCAATCCATTCCTTGGGCAATCTTCCTCTTGTTACTGACCTCTACTTTCCCAAAAATGATGTCTTTTTCAGGGACTAGTTTCCCCTGATAACATGTCCAAAGTACAGAAGATGAAGTCTTACCAGCCTCCCTTTGAAAGAGCCTTCTTACTTCTACATCTTCCAAGACTGACTTGTTTGTTCTTCTGTTTTGGTCTCCGTCAAACCGGTAATTCAAATACACCCATGCTCCAGCAATCTTCCTTACTCATTGTCAGACTGTCACATGCACATGAGGTGACTGAAAATACCATCTCCTAGAAGGTTTATATTTCAGCTCCTTGCTCCCTGAAACGATTTCAATTCTGCTCTTCATCTTGGATCCTCTCTTGTCACTGTTCACTAAGCCACTCAGTCATCCAAGGAATTGGGACTGACAGCACACCAACAGGACAATGCAGAAATGCTCCTGTGGATTTCCAAGACCCTAACTCTTGATGGGAGTGGAAAGCCTCATCTCTCTCCCTTGGAGCAGTTTCTGGGTTTGAACCATCCACCCTCAAGTTAGCAGCCCAATGAGTAACTCATTATGCCAGAAATTAACAGATGTTAAAAAAGGGCGATAACAGTGTTTGCTGACAGTTTGAGACTTTCTCCTTGGTGGAAAATACATTAGAAAAAAGTTCATGTGAGAAAGAAAGAGTGAAATCAAACATATCTAAACAGTGTATACACACACACACACACACACACACACGCACACGGGCGGTATTTTTCCCCACCATAATCTGGTAACCCTACTTCAAGGGCCAGCAAACCACTCCTCAAAGGGTAAGAATAGAAGCACATCCTTTTGCAGACCAGAGAGTTCTCTGCCACATATTGTTTGATTAGGTTCAACTACCGGGTTGGGGGTGGGGGACGGTGGCATTCTTGGCTCTGGGTCCCTCAAAATCAGTCCTGGGGTGTCTTTGGCTCATGAGCTGCAGTTTTCTGACCTCTGGATTAGAGTGCCTGGGACAGAGTTGTGCGAATGGCTTTTCACCTCAACTATCCATCCAGTTCTTGACCATTCTGATAATCCTTCTCCTGTCTCAACAAGTGTGGCTGACAGTATGATTCTGAGACTCTCCTCAGAAAACCAAGAGCGAGCCCTGTCTTCTGTCACATCCTCTGCATCTCCTGAGCCTCAGATGACCACCAGCCTCTCTACAGCCCACCTGGGACTCCTGTCCTCTTTATTGAAAGGAAGGCAGCCATTTCTTCAGACAGCCCTCCCAGACCACAGGGAGAAAAAGTACTCAATAGACTGAGGAAACAGAGCACATCTGAATAATTTCTACCCACTTAGTAAGACACACAGCCTCAGAGCCTGGGTAACATCACCCACCTGAGCTAAGTGTGCCCCCTTCTTGCAGTTCATCCCTCCAATGAAGACGGTGTTGGGCATGACTGGCTTGGGGTACTCGAACACAAAGTCGTATCTTAACAGCAGTACTGAGCACTTCTGAAGTATTGTAGTCATGTCCACATCTCTCCTGAGGGTCTTTGAGGCCAGGTCTTGGTACATCCCATGCAGAAGGTGAAATAGCGGGATCTCCAACAATTAACAAGGAAGTTGGCCACTGTTTGTGGGAAAGTCATCTGGTCTGAGAACGGAGTATAGAACCTGGGAATGTAGGACACAAGGTTTGGGCTTCCACTGATCACGTACTCCAGGACACCCGGGAACCCCCGGTAGAGGTACACGGAGGGCAGGTCCAGGCACTCAGCCAGGATCACACCACAGGGAACGATCGGGTCTGTGAAAAGGGCATTAAACTGGCTCTCCCTGAGGAACCGCAGGGTCTCAAAGTCCTCCAGGAGGCTCTCACAGTTCATGAATAACATTTTAGCAAGAATCATGATGTTCCTGAATTCGGTCAGGGGATGGCTCAGGAAAGACCTCAGAGTGAAGTGGCTGTTTCCAAAGGAGCAGAATCGGTCTTTCAGCTCTTCCTGGGTGTAGGGCACTAGATAGGTCCTTCTGCTGTAGTATCGCGACTCCCCCAGAAGCAAACTGACCTCTGGCACCAACACTACGATGTCATGGCCCCTCTCGCTGAGCAGCTCCACGATCGCCTTCATGCTGAGCCAGTGGCTTCCATCCACAGGGACAACCAGCAGCTTCTCCCCTCCAACCACCCCCCACAGCGCTAGCAAGTAGAGTCCCACAGAAGCCCTCTGAGAAGCTTGGAGAAGTCCCGACATGCTGGAGGGAGCTAAAGTAAAGTGATGATGATAAATAGTTTACACTGAGGAGTGCAGGCTTCCTAGCTCTTCCTGAATAGGCAATCCACTCCCCATTCCTGGTCTACCTCTCTGTGCTCTGAAATTTTCCCTTCAATCTGAAATAAACCCTAACTAATATTTAACAATATCTAAGCACACAGAAAATTGGCACAATCAAAACCTCTGGGGTCATTTGTTTTTCATCGTCCTTCCTATCTGTTCTGTATCTCCAAACAACCAGGGTGATGGTTTGATAAACTGCTGATGTGACCGTTCCTATCGGTCGGTTGGGATGGCCTCCAGGGGTCTTCTCCTGCCACTAACCCTGAGCTCATGCACAATGCCCACAGGGGAGCCGGAGTCAATGGGGACCAACTTCTTTACACCAACTCTTAACCGAGCAGAAAGGAGGAGTAATCTTAATGGATGCTAGGTCTGACCATGCACCACCCATTTCACGGCAATGGTAGGACAGAGGGAGACTGAGGGATGAGGAGTGGATAACACTGTCCACCCACACTAGCCACCAATGAGCCTCCTGAAGGCATTGGAGGCCCTAGGGTTCCTCAGGGAGAGCAACCTTGATTCCCTTTTCCCAATCCCAGCCATGAGCAGTGGTGTGATCCTATCTCAGGGGCTCCATGAGCAGTGGTGTGATCCTAGCTCAGGGGGTGGGCCTGTCTGACCTACACCTTCTAGAGCATGCCAGACCCACCCTACTGTTTCCTGATGGAGGAGAATCAGTCTGTGCTTCCCGTGAATTGCAGCACAGATAAAAGCAGCCCCCTCAGAACAAGGAAGGACACCTTGGGCAAAACATATGTCAACACCCAGCTGTCAAAGGGACTCACTGTTGGCGTGGGATTTCGAACTAGAAATGGGATTGCAGAAACTGCAGCAGGAAGCAATAACAACCCAGACTGCACCTCGCTCCTGGTGCACAGACTGACCAGTACATGGTAACCTGCTTAAGTGGGGGTGCCCATGGGTGGATAGATGGAGCCCAGCATATTCTCTCTTGTGCTTGGAAGAGAATCAATGTGGAAAAATATGATCTGAAACTTTCAAATCACAAGTAAGACAACATAGGAGAAGAACCTATCACAGAAAAGGAGAGGAGATGGTGAGCAAAGGCTGAAGGCTCTGCCCAACCTAGAGCTTCTTACAGAATGTAGTGTGGGCAAAACATCACACACTGGTGAAAAAAGAAAATGTTAACACCTTCAAAAATGCCATTCACCACGACCACCACCAACAACAAAAATCACAAAACACACAACAGCAGGGATACAAAGGTCCTTCCAAAGGAATAGGGCAAAGGGAGTGGACACACAGCCAGGACTGGATGAGAAAAAAAGAAAGAAGAAGAGAATAGACAACAACCACGGTCCATGATTAAAGAACTAAGTGGAAAGAGAGTCAACGAGCTAAAGAAAGGAGGAAAACGATGCAAGAACAAAGTAAGGATCTACAAAGAGAAACACTGCACCTGAGAGGGACAACGTATGGGGTAATATTGGACATATGAACCCGATATGGACTGGGCTGGGATGTTTTCTTAATGTATAATTGCTCTTTAATACAAAGTTCTCTCTAACACACATGAGTGTCTCCCTGGATTTGTTTCTCTTTAAAATTTTAAAGAGAAAATTTGAATTTTTAAGAAAATTTGAATAATTAAGAAGAAACATGGGAAGACTGAGAATAGATTAATAGAATTATAGGACAACAACAGGAGACCAAATGTGAGGGGATTCAGAAAGTTCCTGGAAAATATTCCATGACCTTTTCATTTCATTTTCTAAAGTGCTTTTGAAACAGCATCAGGATTCCAAAAGGAAGTGAGAGAGAGCTAGAAGAATAAAAGGAAGATTAGAAAAATTAATTATGGGCAAGCCCTGAACTTAAGGAAGGATATGAATCTATATCTCCAAGAAGCTCAAAGAACCTCAAGTAGAACCAACCCAAAAGACCTACACCAAGAGACATTTGAGTTGGGTTATCAAAGGCTGAAGACAGAATCCTGAAAGCAGAGAAAGAGAAGGAAGCAGCCACCTACAAAGGATCCCTCATATTGGGTCTCTTGTGGTTGTCTCATAATTCTACTAAACTATGCTCAGCCTTCCCGAGTCTCATATGAGGCAAAAGTTGGACTTTGAATAAGGAAGATTGACGAAGAATCAATGCATTTGAATTGTGGAGACAGGAATATTGAAAGTACCATCTTCTGCCAAAAGGACCACCAAAAAAAGTTTTAGAAGGATGGCCAGAGAGCTGCTATAGAAGAAAGCATGCTGATGCTGTCTCACATACTTTGGACATATTGTCAGGAGAAACAGTGCCTGGAGAAGGGCATCGTGCATGGTAAGAAGAGGGGCCACAAAAAAGAGGAAAGCCTTCCGGGAAAGGGATGACACAGTGGCTGCAACAATGGGCTCAAACATAGGAACCATTGTGAGCATGGTGCAGGACCAGGCGGTGTTTCCTTCAGAGGATTGCTATGTGTCAAACCTGACTCAATTGCACTAGCAACAACAACAATATGAATCAATACCAATTTGTTCAGAAACATAGGTCGCCAGGATATAATGCAGTGATGTGTTTAAAGTGCGAAAAACCATTGACAGAAACAAACAAACAAACAAAAACCCAGTCAACCAAAAATAAGGGCGAACTTTAAACATTCCCAAACAACCAGAAACTGACAATGTTCTATCAACCAGACCAGCTCTGCAGAAAATAAAAAGAGGATTCTGTAGATGGAAGAGAAGACACTGGAAAGCAATTCTAAGCTGTCCTGAAAAAGAAAGCTCTGTAATAAAGGGAAATGAAGGGACAATTATAAGGGCTAGCCACAAGGTTTGATGATGCTCTCTTTCACATTGCTACATAGCAAATACACACAGGGCAAGGACCAAAGCATACGGCTCGACACATGAACTATTCAGACATAGTCATGAGAGCCACCGCAAAGGGGAGGACAGGAATGGCAGAGAAGCAGGATTTATTTTGTGTTAATAAGTAGGTACCGACTTACCCTAGAAAGTTGTAAATGTAAGCCCAGGTGACTATGTCACAAGGAGGCTTCATGAGTGTTTTCCTCATGAAAGATGGAATTAAAGAACTTGGAATTTCCCCACACACTTTTATCTATTTATTGTAAAACCTTGGAGCCTGGTCTGGATCAACTTTTTCTTTTCTTTTTATGATTATTATATTCTTATGAAGATACACTTCACATATCCTACCATTTGATCATTCAGTCACATCAAGATGTGTGCACAGGGACGAGGAGGGAGGAGAAAGGTAGAACGTATATAAGGTTGGATATATGCCCCCCCACAAAGGGGACAGATAACAGAAATGTAAGTAAAAGGATGCAATGAACAATGTGAGATAAGAAATAATGAACACAATGAATAATTGATCAAGGATTCATGAGGGTGAAAGGGGGAAGAGACGAGGGGAAAGAGGAGCTTTTACTAAGGGCTCAAGTAAAAAATTTTGGAAATGATGGTGGAAACATGTACAAATATGCTTGGGTCAACTGATGAACAGAATGTTATAAGAGCCCCCCATAAAATGAATTTTCAAAAATAAAAAGATGTGTGCAGTCATCACCACAATCAATTTCAAAGCATTCCCTTCCAGACTCCTTTTCCTTAGGTCCCCAGGTTCCCTATCCCACCATGCCATGCCCCTAGGCAACTAGCCATCCAGTTGATGACTATAAAGGTCCACCCATCCTGGCATCAGATATAGAGAACTTTATGTAAAGCAAACAAAAACACTCAACAACAAAATAAAAATCTCAACAATGACAAGACAAACCATAGAGAAAGCTCATTCCAAAGCATGAGACGGGATGCTTTCGACAAACTTTTTGAAGTCCCTTCCCATATAAGCCCAAGGGGGCTTCAAGACATTCATGGGAAAAAACCCACTACCTTGGTCACACGCAATTAAGTGCCTCAAATGTTAGACTTGTTTCTGGGTGTCTTTGACATGCTAATTTCAAAAATGGCGCCAGTTTTCCCCTATCGGCTCTAGTTTTTGAGAGATAGACCATTTGCCACATGCCATTCTTCACTCTGCTTGCCCATAAAAAAATTAAAATTTTAAAATCAGGAAAATTTAATTTAGTGATAGCTAAGCTGAGATACAGGGAGTACATACAATCTTTATTTACATAGTTTGAACTGTCTTAAATATTTACATCAAGTTCTACTGCACATAGTGTCCTTGGGTCCAAACACATATTTGAACAGGCAAATTGCATGAACAGTAAAAATTACACCCAACCCTGCAGAAAATCCATACTGACTCACTATGGTCAGAAGACCAATATCCACCCCAAGAATGACTTCCATTTTTTTAGAAAAAAGAACAGCAAGCAGTTTCAACCTGTTTTCTTAAAAGAAGGCAAGAAATAGGACTTACTGGTCAATGAATACGAACCCTGATGGCATAGTGGATAATGTGTTTTGGCTGCTAACCACAAGGTCACTTATTCAAGCCCACCAGTCACTCTGCAAGAGAAAGATGAGACTTTCTGCTCCCATAAAGATTTATAGCCTCAAAACCAGGAGAAGTTCCAACTCAGTCCTATAGGGTTGCTATGAGTCATAAGTGAGCTTGGTCAAGAAACAGAGATTCAAATGTTCTGAAACCCAGAATGGGTCGGTCAGAGTTCAAACACCTTCATTAAAATGAAAACTTTCCAGTCTTCTTATAGAAGGGTACAACTTCTCCACCTGTGCACAGAAACTCTTGAACAAAATGTTAGAATTTTCTTATAAAGAAGCTTAGAATATCCAACTGTGCTCAGATAAGCATTTGCTCAGACTTATCGGCAGAAACCATGAAGAGGAGGAGAGAATGGAGTAATAACTTCTGAAAGCTGAAAGAAAAAATGCCTGCCCTGCAGAAAATCCTTCCTGACTCACGATGGTCAGAAGACCAACATCCACCAAGTACAA